TTTTTTTCCCCACCTAGGGAACTGAAATGTTAACACCCTTTTATCTAAAATCTCAAGTTACGGCCCTTGGCATTCCCGGCTGTAGCAAGACATCAACGTGGCTGCTTTGGGGTACGTCAGTTAAGTGATTTCGTGTATTCGTGTAGTTTTGTTTGATTTATATATGTGCTGATGACGGCTCTGTAGCTCCAACGTTTACTTTTCTTTTGCGTTTGTTATATCGCGAAGCTTTTGGTCTACTTTTCGTTCGGTTCTATATCTTTCTTTGATACAGCTTCTCTAGAAGAGCAGGAATTTGTTTCCAGTTAGTACTTCTCCTAAATCGACTGGTTACGCGATCATTGTAAGAGGGAAGGAGGAAGATTGTCTAGGCTGAGTTGTGCTGAGTTATGAATCGATATAATAAAACTCGGAACATTTCCATAAGCACTCCGTCCCCATATTCACCAGCCAGTGCAAAGTTCCAATTCCTGTGGTATCTGTAGCACTCTGATTGTGTGTCTAGAATAAACAAACAGACAATGTTTTGATCATCACTCATAGAAAGAAGTAGAAAGATAGACACTTTGGGTACTTGAACACCCTCCGAACTGAAGTGCCAACACAGTTTCATTTAAACTCCTAGGGGATTGAACTGCCACAGTTTTATCTTAACCCCTCTAGTTATGGCTCCTGGTACACCACAGGGTGTATTTATTCCCCTTTCCCACGCGTGTCGGCAGTCCACTAAAACGTCATCCGGCTGCTTCGAGATACCAGCTAAGTGATTTTGTGTATGTGTGTGGTTTTGTTTGATTTTTGTATGTACTGATGAAGGATCCATAGCCGCAAAGTTCACGTTTTGTTTGCATTTGTTATTTTGTAAAGCTTTTAATATACGTTTCGTTCGGTTTTAAATCTTTTCTAGAAAGATAAAAGGATACATAAACAACACTAAACTATTAAGTCCGGACATGCAAAACCTAAAGAAAAGATAACACAAGAGGACCTGAGTTTTGCGTGTGCATCCGTTTACAGATATTTTGATGATGATAATAATGACTACAATAGCTGAAAGTTCCCGGCTTTATATCGTCTTTTAATTAAGTATGGCACCAAGAGTTGACATAAAAACGCAACCAGAAATGAATTGTTGAAATAATGGAGTGGAATATGAGCAGAACAGTTTTGTCATCTGGACTTGAGCCTCAACCAATGAAGTCTTTCTTTAATATGTATGTCCTCCTGCTCCTCCTCTCCCTCTTCTTCTTATTCTTCTTCTTCTTCTTCTTCTTCTTCTTCTTCTTCTTCTTCTTCTTCTTCTTCTTCTTCTTCTTCTTCTTCTTCTTCTTCTTCTTCTCTTCTTCTTCTTCTTCTTCTTCTTCTTCTTCTTCTTCTTCTTCTTCTTCTTCTTCTTCTTCTTCTTCTTCTTCTTCTTCTTCTTCTTCTTCTTCTTCTTCTTCTTCTTCTCTCTACTCCAGGAATGCTTTACGGCATCAGGACAGGAATAGATCTCTGGAACGGGCCTTCTCTTCGCTTAATAGATAGCATTTTCAGTGTCTCTGATATTTCTAGGGTCCATGTTCTGCGTGGTCGACCTCTGTATCTGTTACCGTTGTATCTGTATACCATTGCCCTATGTGGTGTCCTGATTGATGCCAATCTTGTTTAATGGCCAAACCATCTAATTTGTTGTCTACCTTTACTGATTCTGTGCCAACTCTCCTCCTGACATCATTGTTCCTAAGTCGATCTTTCCTTCCTCGTTACACTTAGCAGAGTACGTAAACATTTCATTTCTGTCGCGACTATCTTCCTTCTGTTTTCTGAGCGCAGTGTCCACGCGGGACATTGATTATTCCTACAGATTGTATTTTTCACTTTTAGAGCGGTGTAAGACTGACGCGAAAGTGAGGTTGATCGGGGGTAACTGTTCTGAAGATTTAAGGCCGCATGGCCAGTGTATACCAAGTGCTGGATTTAGACATTATTAGATATTAGATATTATGACCTCACACGGGCTTCAATTTTTTTTTTCCACTTTCGATTTTCGTTTTATATATTTTAAATGAATTTATGTGTGTATATATATATATATATATATATATATATATATATATATATATATATATATATATATATATATGTGTGTATATATATATATATATATATATCTATATATATATATATGTATGTATGTCTGTGTGTGTGTGCGCGCGTGTGTGTGTGTGTGTATGTATCGATTTATTTTACATTTCTGTCCCAAGACAATTTCAGATTTATTATTATTCTGGGGTATGTTACCTCATGCTTTTTATTCACTCTAACTTGATGTGATTGGCTGGTGTCGTTTACAATGATAGTGGACTCAGGGCTTTATATTACTTAGGACTCATCAAGTCTAAATGCGGCCCGGAATATATCCTTGTGTTTGTGCAGCATATCATTGTCTTCTTTTTCTTTCTGTTGTCCTCTCACTGTTATAGGATGTAGCCCAGTGACGTTGGTCTTCTGTGTTTGTCTGGTGCTTCTCGCGTGGCTTTGTTGGTGAATTTGCTCAGCTGTTTGCAGGTTTCAGCTACATAAGTTATCCTTCCCTTTCTTTGTCTTCCCCTGGTATTCCTCCCAGTTCTGCTGTTAAAATAAAAAATCTTAAACGGAGTTTGGTCTGGCTGCATTCTCACTACATGGCCGAACAAGTTCTTTGTATGTTAATATAATTCAGACATGGTTTTATTCCAACTGTCTCTCTAACTCTGGTAATCGCAACACTGCTCATTCTTGTGTTATCAGTGAGCTCACGGAGCCGGATAGTCGAGTTATTTTCTCTTGTAGTGCCTCAGTCATTGGTCGTTTTTGGCACTGATAGCATAAAGTTGGGACGTGATGCTATTAATCATTTTCTGGAAGGGAGACATTTGAGTGTGTAAGTAGGTGGTAGGTGACAGCATTTTGCCTTCTTTGTGCAATATACTCTTTTGGTTGTTTAGTATATTCTTGCTTAAACTATTCTCGTGTTTGAGTGCTATAATTTGGTGTTTGTATAGTTGATCACTACTATATATAAGGCCGGTCGGACCGACACACTTACAGACATGCAAACTACGATCAATCAGCTGGACTTACAGATAGCCAAGCGGACAAATTGCTGACTGCTGGAAAGGAAGACGACTGGTTAGCACCTTTCCCGTCTATAGTGTTATAATGTGCAATGGGGCGGGATGAGAATCACAGCCAATGGCGATGGCGAGTGTGACTAGCAAGAACTGCCCGTGTTAAGAACAGTGTTCCCCAATTAGAGCATGTGATTTCAGGACCGTTTTTGCCATCACAGGTTTTTCGCGTGCTTCTACTCACATGCTCAGCTCTCAAACTATCTATTGTGATTTGTTTTTCATGTATTCCCATTCCCTTCCTGATTTTCCCCCCATCACTCAAAACGGTCTGTGGCATTTTGTTCCAACGAATATACCCCAACACCCGTATCACTCACAACAGTCTATGGCATTTTGGTCCAACGAATGTACCTCAATACCTGTTTCACTCAAAACGGTTTATGGCATTTTGGTCCAACGAATATATCCCAACACCCGTATCACTCACAACAGTCTATGGCATTTTGGTCCAACGAATATACCTCAATACGCGTATCACTGATGCCCAGCGTGCACACATCTTTGTATTATAGTAGAGGCAGACCTCTATATCTTCTACCCATCTGTGATTTCACCACAGAACATATCCTTAAAGACTCTACCAAACTCCATTCTCCAAGCGTGACACAGCCACCCAAACCTTCGTGGGCTGAGACTTGGGAAAACTTTGGTAATACCTGCTCTTTGCAATACGTCAATGTTTGTGATCTTGTCTTGTCGCTTAATGCCAAACATTCTTCTAATGGAATGTGAAACTAACAATCTGAGACACAAAAAGACGTCCAAGGAAAACAAAAAGAACATTATTACCAGAGGCTAAAAATACTGGGCTGAACTCCGTGTCAGAAATCGGGAGAGTTACATGCAATAGAGTGGAGTGGAGGAATCGAATGTGACCCCTGTGTTACGTCTAACGGAACACACACAGGATGATGATGATTCGCATGTGAAAGCATGTGAAAGCTGTGTTGCTGTTTCTCCAGCTTCGAATACATTGAGCACGTTTCACTGCCGCAAAGAACAGTACTGATAACAGACAGATAGGTGGAGGAAGAAATAGACAGCAGCACAGATAGACGTATATACACACAACATACACTTAGGGGAGCGAGTGACCGAACGGTTAAGAATGCTGGGTCCTCATGCAGGAAATCCAGGTTCGAATTCTCGGTAAAGTTGTTGGTCTTTTCCAGCCCTAACCTACACAGCTCGTGGCGACAACACCAGCAATGCTGCACTTAATCCTCAGGCTCGTCTACCCCCTACCTGCACCGCCAAACTTGAAAATACGGACAGCAACGGCAGTTAGTTTTTTTCCCCACACACGTCACTGTGTTAGAGTAAAATGGTTTTTTCAACAACTCATCACTTATACCACGCAGGAAGGGTCTAGTTTAGACTTGATGAGGCCTCAGACTATTTAAAGCTTTGAGGTCCCTATCGTTTTCAATTACAGAAGCTAATCTTGGAAAGCTTTAATAAATATATTTATAGGCATGTTAAATAAACTGATAATGGAAATATAATGTTTAGTTTTATTAAAAGGAAATAATAAAGAATGTGTTTAAAAAATTGCAGAAATTATATATTGAATTTCTCTAAAATACTCTAATAGAAGAAAACTGCATTTGAAATATACGAAAAAATTGCATTTGTGGGGGAACAAGAATTTGTTGAGGCCACTGCACATTTTGAGGCCCTAATGCGTAGCTTATTTGGCGTATGCCCAAACCCATGACTGCATGTATTACACAAACCCAGTTGCTACTTTATTGACTGTGCCCTCCCACTGACCCCCACGAAACATTGTACTCACCTTCCCAAGAACACAGAATATCCCTCAGTACATTGCCAGCATCCAGACAGCTATGGACTAGCCGTGGAACTGAAGCTGATGTTTGTAACATTACTCGTTCCGTCCGTGGTTGTAGAGACAGGAGTTTTCAATTTCAACTTTGGTTCCCATATAAGACTGTAGTAGGTAGCCAAAACTATGGCGGCTAACGACACTGCAAGTACATAAGCCAAAACAGTGGCTAGACGCACCCATTTCTTGTTGCTTTTGGCCGCCATTTTATTCTTAGTCTTGTCTGCCGTGAAGGCCGGTCCTTTTGATCCGCCCTGAGCGGAGTTAGCGCGGTATGCCGAGTTTGTCTCGTCTTTATCCATCGTCTTATATACAAGGTAAGCGGGTAATTACCTACACCTGCTATTTGCTGCTATCTGGTAATTATCCTTTAACGATTGATCCAAGAAATCGCAGTCTTGGCAGTAGAGGGAAAGCGACTGGCTTCCCCGCTTGACGTAGATACCAGGCGTAGGTTTAATAACAAACACTGTGTTTGCTCACTCCGTGCAGCCCCCAGAGTTAGGGGCAAGCCAATCGACCATTTATCGAGCGCTCACATGCCATGCGCGTGCGGCGGGCTCGCTGATCTTTGATAAATTACGCATGCAGTGGAAATGACTGGGTAGCGAAAGCTGTTTTTTCCCCTTGCAAACTTCCCTTTTTTTTCAATCTTTGTTGGTCAATTCAGTAGAGACTGATAACCAGAGGCATCGTTAAAAGTATGGGAATCCTACAAGATAATATGCTAAGCGGTGAATAGAAACATAAATAATTTCACATGAGGACAGTCAGTTCATTCTAGTGGCTGTTGCATGGAAGGACGGGTCGCATATGGGAATGCATCTTTTATTCTTCTTCTGTCTTTCTTTTCTCTACTGCTGGAATGCCTCGCGGCGTCAGAGCAGGAAGAGATCTGTGGAACGGGCCCTTCTCTTCGCTTCATATACAGTATTTTTTCAGTGTCTCTGATATTTCTGCGGTCCATTTTTTGCGTGGTCTACCTGTAGATCTGTTACCGTTGTATTTGTATAACATTACTCTTTGTGGTGCCCTGTCTGATGCCAATCTTGTTACATGGCCAAACCATTTGATGTGTTGTCTGCCTATAAAGCTCAGTGTTTGTTATATGCAGACTGTCCTCCTGATGTCACCGTTACTAAGTCGATCTTTCCTCGTCACACCTAGGATAGATAGTACATAAACTTTTAATTTCTGTCATGACTATTTTCCTTGTCTTCTGAAAACAGGTGTCTATGTTTTACAGTGATTGCCGTGGTAAGAATATTGCGATATTGCATAATGCATAATGTACTGAATGTTCAAAGAAAGGCAGGATGGACGTATAATCAGAATGCTACTGGCACCATTAGTATTGGAACTCGATTTTTGGATCAGCCCAACTCAACTCAAAAATCAAATCGTCACTGCGATGCCTATTATTCACCAAATCTAAACCCGTTGAATGTGAAGAGAATTCGTTTCTAGCCATTGACTTTACACCATGGTTTCAGAAATATGTATTAACCAGTTAACTGTCCCCAGCAACTTCCTTCATTCCCAATCTCCCCAGGGCCCTCTATGTTTGGCAGGTCACATAACAAACATGCAAACACACCGGATAGCGAAGATGTGTGGTGGATTCATTATCATTATTTTTAAAAAAGTAAAGAACCTTTTTACACGACTCCATGCGTTTTAGGCATATAGGGCTAGACCTATTCTGTTTCATAGACCAATCGGCACTTGGTGGGTGATGTGGTCACATCACGCCGGCCGCCTTTACTTCTCAGGACTGCACCTGGTACCCACTCAAGGTTAGGTCGACCAGGAAGCCGTGGTCATTTGGGAAGAAAGCCCGGTTCGGTCTCATCATTATTATCACACCATAAAACCGTTTATCGTTAGGTCAGCATTTGTTGTCGACTCTAATCAGATCCCTCGGTTCATTCGGTCAAAGGTGCTGGACTTATGTGTTTACACATATAAGGCCCGTCTGATCTGCAAAATGTTGTTACCATGTTTTTCTTGGTCTGCCTCTTGTCCTTTTCTCCTTTACCGAGTTCTGTAGGACTGTTTACGGGGATGATCGCGTTATGCGCCCGCAACAAAACATTGTCCATCTTTTAACTATTGTTAAAGGGAGGTTCATTGTTGCCAAAAAGTAATGAAGATGTATAGAAAGAAACTTACTCACGAAGAGAACTTCTTCTTCTTATTCTTCCTACGCGTTCACCGGCTGTAAACTTCGGTGGAAAGTTATGATTGTTCGTCCAATTCTGGACTGCAGTCCTGTTCCAGAATTTGTGTTGCGTGTGTATCCGTTTGACAGATCTGACTAATATGTATGCAGACGGTTGGTTCCTTGCCTCTCAGGCAGATGAACTTTGAGTTTGAAGAAAGCTCCCAATTAGTCGACTCTTACGACATGCTTTTGGGTTGGCAGTAGGTCTGTTCTTGTTTTCCCTATAACCGGGCCACGGAACCCACACGGGAGAACGAAGAGAACTGATTGCCTACATCAGAAATAGACAATCCGCATTCAATCCGGTCATTTCAAGAGAAGGCGAAAGCGGGAGTACATCGTGACAGGGGGAAAGTTGGAGGGAAAGAGAGACAGAGGGAGTTAGAGAGAACAGTTACATGACAGTTTGGAAATCATGGCATGGAGGATCATCTGCATCAGAGTTGACTAAAAGTGCACGAGATAGAAGGTTGTGGATAGACATGACGCCACACGCATGGGCTTTAAAAAGAAGGGAAAAGCTGCCAAAGTAAGGAGTGATAATACCAGTGTATTGCAAACATTTACACAAGAGACACGGTTTGTTAATTCCATTTATATCTTTCTCGCAATGAATTATGTAGCGTCACCACAATTGAGGTTGGCTAAAATTGATCTTCAAGACTATCTTTCTCGCTCTGGTTGCATTCTCTTTGCGGTTGCATTCTCTTTGAGGTTGCATTCTCTTTGAGGTTGCATTCTCTTTGAGGTTGCATTCTCTTTGAGGTTGCATTCTCTTTGAGGTTGCAGTCCGTGTCTACTCTAGATACTATACTCTCATTTGTATCGATGTCCACCTCCTGGTTCCTAGTATGGTTCCTATAACAGTGACTATCGTTGAAATACTTATCTTGTATGTATTTCATTGCTTTCGACAACTTTCTATTCATTTCCAACGTACCCATAATCTATAATTTTTGAAATGTTGCCTTTTCTTCACTCTATCCACACCGTATCGACTTTCAAAAGTCTTGTTTCTTATATATCACATATTTCTAAGGGATTTCTAGGGATTCTCACCTGCTGCACTATCCCATTTACTAAAGATCGATATCTCGGCTATTCAAGGAAAACACCCCGACAGCAAAGCCAGTAATTGATTTCCTAACTGCCACATGTCAGATAATTAGTATTTTACTGTATTGACTGACGCTCAGACAGAAGCAGGGGGAGAATAAAAAAATAAAAAAAAATAACAGTACATTTTTGTGAATTTCTTCTGCGTTCATCCGAGGACGTATCTGCATTGTGTCTCTTTACAACATGGCCGCGCTATCTGCGCATTTCGGCTGACACATCCGACTTCCGGTATTTGTTTCAACGGTTAACTTTCTGGGATTTATGTTAATTACTAGCTGTACCCGGCCACGCGTTGCTGTGGCATAGTTTGGCTGAATTGAAAAGAAAGAAAATAGAAATCTTGCTTCGTACATAGAAGTAGTCGGAAAAATTACCCAAGTGAAAAGCTATGAAAACAGGGAAAATACACAATAATTACGAAATGGTTGCTATGGTAAACTGTACCAAGCGCGCGTTGCTACGCCTCTAATAGAAATTCAATTGAAAGGAAAGTCGATATAACAATATGTAGTATTAATTTTGGATCATTGTGCTGTTTACAAATCCTTAGGAAAAAACAGGCAATTTAAAATGTAATTGTTCTTAGTTTTTCCGCCTGGTGCGTACACGAATAAATCAGTAGGTTTTCCGACGCTTGAACAGGCCACATATGGCAGTCCATGTGAAAAGCATGGATGTTCCAAATGTAGTCCACACAATTGTTTTGACTGTCCCTGTGATTTGTTGATGGTCATTGCTAAGGTGAGTCGTACCAGAAACTGCAAGCATCTGAAGTTGAATGGCATGTCTGTTGGAATTGCGTTGCAATAGTATATCCTGGCCCTTAAATGTTCATGTAAAATTGTACTTACGATGATATTGGGCACCATCTTTTTCACTGAAAGCCTGGTACCACTGCAAAGATGTGGCGGATTGATGTTTTTGAGAAGAATAACAGGCACGCCAACTTTCAAGGTTAAAACATGGGGTGGTATGCCTGGCAAATAAAGCGAATTAAAGAACTCAGTTGGATAATTGACAACCTCGTAGCTACCAACTTCTGCTACCAACATTAACGCTTTTTTCTAGCTGTACCCGGCCACGCGTTGCTGTGGCGTAATTTGGCAACATGGAAAATAGAGACTTTCAAGGTTAAAACATGGGGTGGCATGCCTGGCAAATAAAGCGAATTAAAGAACTCAGTTGGATAATTGACAACCTCGTAGCTACCAACTTCTGCTACCAACATTAACGCTTTTTCCTAGCTGTACCCGGCCACGCGTTGCTGTGGCGTAATTTGGCTACATGGAAAATAGAGAACATAGAAATGTGTCTTCGCTTCACGCTAGCGATGTACAGTGCAACAGCTAAACCACAGCTAATAAAACTTTGAGTGGGTAAGGCAGTTACTGTAACTTAAATCTATATCAGTAAACAGTTTATTGTAACTACCCATCTCCCAGTTCACATACTACTTTCTCCTTCATCGAAGCAGTTGGAAAAATTACCCTAGTGAAAAGCAATGAAAAGAGGAAAAATACACCATAATTACGAAATGAGCACATTTGCTAATTGCTGTAAACAATCCTGCACGCGTTGCTACAATAGGAAGTGAATTGAAAGGAAAATCGCTTTAACAAAATGTAATGATATTGGATCATTGTGCCGGTAATTTAACATTAAAAATGTGTTTACTGAAGTGCTTTTGGGTAAACAATGTTTTTTGTTCTTCCGTCTGGTGCGTACACAAATAAATTAGAAGGTTTTTCCGACGCGTGAACAGGCCACATATATAGCTGCCCATGGTAAAAAAGCATGGATGTTCCAAATGTAGTAAACACACTTGTAGGGATTGTCCCTGTGATTTGTTTATGGTCATTGCAAAGGCGAGTCGCACCGGAAACTGCAAGCGTCTGAAGTCAAATGGCATGTCTGTTGGAATCATTGGGATGCGTGGCAAAAGTATATTCTCGCCCTTAA